TCACTCCAGTTTCAATCGACTCTGAATTGGGAGCACATCGCCGGTGGCCTAGGTTAGGTTAAACGTTATTGTCTTTTTCCAGTTCTGGTTTTCGTTTTCTTGTATTTTTTTCTCTCGTTCTCTCTCTCGTTCTCTTTCCCAGAACTGCGAATGTCTCTGTCGTCTGTGTGTCTGTTTGTCTCTCTTTCTCTTTCCCTCTAGTCTCTCTGTCTCTTTCTGTCTGTCTGTCTGTCTGTCTCTGCCTCTCTCTCCTCTCTCTCTCTCTCTCTCTCTCTCTCTCTCTCTCTCTCTCTCTCTCTCTCTCTCTCTCTCTCTCTCGTCTTCTCTCTCTCTCTCTCTCTCTCTCTCTCTATCTCTCTCCTCTCTCTCTCTTCTCTCTCTCTCTTCTGCTCTCTCCTCTCTCCTCCTCCTCTCCTTTTTCTCCAGGACTACATCGAAGAGATTGGTCTGGTAATTCAAGCTCAGTGTCCCCCTCGGCTTAATGCTGCTGAGCCTGACTGAATACGTTTGAAATAGCCAGTCTATTTAGTTGGTCTACGATTTTTTAGGTAAATTTTAGTTTTAATGCGTTTTTTCCCGGGAATCTTGCGGATGGTATGCGTGTCCGTTTTCAATTTCATGATTAGGAATATTGATTTCCTATCCTTAGATTAATTAGTACGCGGGCACATATTATCTTCTCCGTCAATAGCGATGGAATTAACTGGCCCCTTGGAGTCCCCGAGCGCACGTATAGATTCCGAGAAGCCTGGTCGAGAAAATAAAACAAAAGAGAAACGTTGGTCGAACAGAAGGAGATTCATTTCGGCGGGAGACCTTCATTTTGGCGGGAAAATTTTTCGTCTTAGTGGGAAGCCATTCCACCGCGAGGCTGGGACCCTTGTGAGATTGAATACTCTTTTATTTGACTCTTTTTCTTTATCGCTGGTGAGTGCGACGGCGAATCGCTCACGGTTAAAGATCGAATGGTTTATAACACATTTCATGATACTTTTTATCTTCCAGAT